GATTTGATGAAAGCGTGAAATGCAGTCATTTCGGGTCAGAATTTATGAGTTCATGTTCAAGGTGCTAAGTTCAGTAAAAATTTGAGTGGTAAATGAATTAAATGGCCCAGGGATCAATAAGCGACTTCTTTAGCCGGGGTGTGATTAACAAGGATAATGAAAGGGAACCAACCAACAGAGGATAAGTCCCTTTTTAACAGTTACATCGAATTATATTTAAAAAGGTTTTTTAGCGTTCTAGAATTCTCGGTTTAAGAGAAGAGGACGTGATTTTTCGTTGTTAGTTTTGCTTTAAGAAAGTCATCAAATAAAGAAAGAGAAAAAGAAAACACAACTCCGGTCGACCGGACACTTGATCACAGAAGCCCTCAGTTCTTTCCAGGGATCAATGTCGCTCTTGCCACTTTGCTAACCTATCCTGTGTCAACCTGCGCTGCCGAACGCAGTTTTGAAGAGACTGGAAAAACCTCTTCGACGCACTATGAGTGAGGAGCGACTATCCTCTTTGGCAATACTCCATATACACAAGCACAAGAACGTGGATATTGACAAAACAGTTTCCCAATTTTACCGTCTTAAAGGGAGACGTCTGGCCCTTTTCCTGTAGCTCGTTTACAGTTTATACCAGTAGTACCAAAGGTTGACAAATAAACAACAAAGTTACTATATAGTTAGCGTTTTTTTTTTTTTTTTTCATACTATGATTTATGAAACTTCCCCCTGGAAATCATGGGAAATGGAATTTTCAAGGTCCCTAAAAATAAACATTCTCTGGGGGAGTATGTCCCCAGATCTCCCTAGAGTCTTGCGCCTTCCCCGCTTGTTTCACTACGCCTTCCTGTGCGTATACGCCCCTGCGTTCTAACTAACTTCCTCTACAAGTACCGCCTAAGGGGGGAAAAATCACAAATTATTTGTTGCAAATCACGATCAGTGGTTTCACAGTAGCTGTAGAAAAGGATGTGCAGTTAAAAAATAAAATGTCTTTCAACGCTTGGCATCCGGAAACGTCACCAGATCCTCTATAATCAAACCTCCGAAAAAGCATTTTGATTTATTTTGCATATTAAAGTTACATATGACTTATTTATTATTACAGCGAATTGTCTTTATTAGTTTGCGTTATTAGCGGGTAGTTATTGACGCTACTGATTAACGGAGAAAATTAGGGAAATAAATTGTTGTTGCCTGACATTACTGATTTAGCAACCAGCTTGTAATTGAACTGTAGTATTTCGATAAGAAAGAGTAGATTGGTCCTCTTTATTTACTATTAACACTAAAAATTGCTTGAAAATGTGAGTGTGGTCACAAGCACAAACAACAAAAGTAACAATCAAACGAATACAGGTGTGTCAACTGGATCCGATAAGACTAAGCCAAATCCTATGCACATTGTCTTGTGCAAAGGCAACCTTTTCATGGCAAAGCTAGGCATTTCAACTTCTCAACAACAACTGTAATAACGGTAACAATAAATACTACTACTACTACTACTACTACTACTACTACTACTAAATAAATACTATTAATAAAGATAATAATAACAATAATAATGATAATAATTAAGAAGAAGAAGAGGAAGAATAATGATAAGAAGAAGAGTAATAAAAGCAACAACAATAAGGTTTTTTTTTAGCAGACTTCAACTGATTAATGACATTACTTTGGCCCCCAGGTAGCGTAGGGGCTAGTCCAGACGAGTACAATACAAGAAATTACATCCGTATGTACTGAAATAAACTGAAAATATAGAGGCATTCTAGATTGCATTGCTAGTTTTAACTTCTTTTAATGGAGGTACTTAAAAGGAGAAACGAAAATACGCACCTAAATAATAAAGGCAACAATTAAATCAGAAAAAATATCGCAAACCCTCGCCTACTGACTGGAGAAAAGCCTCAATGCCGCGGGTAAAGTGGTTCAAAACCTCACGCAAACCTTGATATCGTATCTCTCAACTTTAAAAGAAATAAGAGTGATAATTTAAAACAATTTCTTAGGGTAAAGTTTGCCCCTTTTTTTGCTTTTTAGGTTGCCTAGGTATAGGAATATAGAGATAAAAACCATGAATAATACTCAGTCTTGATTTGTTAAAATTTGAACAGAGCCTTTAAATTAATATTTGTTCATATATTTTTTTTTAACCAGAGTCATTGCAAGTCATTACAAGTTTTAAGACGACATTTACTGTTGGAAACATTTTTGGTCAAGGAGATATTTACTTATTGGCTAACTGTGGCTGATATTTAGCTTTACTTATAAATCCTCAGAATATTATTTTCGGAGTAGCTTAGAATCAAACGCGGTGTTAAATTTAGAAGGAATTTTGATTTTTTTTTTGTTGTCGTTGTTGCTTTTTTTGTTGTTTTGTGAATATAATTAATCTTTTCATTCAACATATCACGACATTTACGATCAATGCAAAGCGTATAAAAGCGCGACATACGTGTTTCCAAAAACCAGTAGTCACGAAGATTTGGAGATGAAGACTCTAATTCTGTTGGCACTGCTGGCCGTCAGCTTGGCTAGTCCATTCAACGGAGATGCAGTTGCAGCAGATGACAATCAAACAAATGATCTTGTGAATGATCTCCGAGAAAGGTAAGGCAGAAACGTAGGTTGTTCGTGCAATGTTGAATAAGTTAAATCATGGTATTATAGATTAGATGATTACACTGAGTCAATTGACTGTAATTATGTTAAATGTGCTTCAAAATGTTTTCCCGCTGCTGCTGTTGCTGCTCTTTCATCAAATAAACGTCGTCGCTTTTCAACGCAGAGCACATCGTTTATTATAATGAAACGGGTCTTGAGATTTTTTTTCGTACTTTATTGGCACGTAAGGTACACCTGCTGGCTTTAGAGTGAACTTAAGACCCAGCAGTGTTTGGAAGTATCGTCCAATGTACAACTGGCGCGTACTTTAAATTAATTGCCAGTAAATGACTGAGGTCAGCTTTGATAATAACTTTAATAAGTTGTCACCATTGCGTTTTTTTTCTCCAGCAATGGCGAGTTTTTTTAGAAGATTTCATACGGCTGATTTCGTACAACGGACCGTGTGTTCGCCTCGGTTGTAGTTTCTTCCTGGCTACGGCCCTGCATGCTCGGTTTAATCTATAAATTGGGTTATATCTCATTTTAGTGATAAAAATTTGCAAGATGAAGATAAACAGGATGAAAACCCAAACAAAGATATAAACAACAAGAATGAGAACGATGAAGATGAAGATGAGGAAGGAGCCTATGATATGGAGCCAGAAGACGACGACGATGAGGAATTTGAGAACGAAGATGGGAAAGAAAACGCTTTGGCTAATCCAGAATACGAGTCTTCAGATCCTGCTTTGCCTATTGTGCCTTTTCTAGCAAAGCGTCTCATCCGTGCTCGCCGTATAATACGTGGAATTCGACGTTTACGCCGACGAAGACGAAGCCGCCGCCGGTCCTCGCGTGGTCGAAACCGACGCTCCCATGGGTAAGGCAGAAATGAAGCTCGTGTAATGTTGAATAGGTTAAAAAGATAGAATATATGTAAGAGATTAAGAGGGTATCTCTCCAGTCTTTCTCAGTGGTACGAGTATCTTAAATCTGCTTTTAAATTTTTACAGCCTGCTGCTGATGTTGTTGTTTTTGTTAAAGAAACGTCGTCGTTCTTATTTTTTTTTTTTAACCCAGAGAACTTTGTTGATTCTGAGAAGGTGTTTGAGACTTTGTTTCGTGGTTTATCGACTCATAAATTACACACTTGTTGGCTATAGAGTGCACTTAAAACCGGTTGCTGTTCATCTTTGGATTTATCGTTCACTATAGATCTTTCACGTACTGTTAATTGCCGGTAAATGACTGTAGTCAGTTTTGATAATAACTTCAATAAGGTGCCACCAGTGTGATTATTTTCAGCAAGACGACTTATTTTGCGTAGATGCAGGGTTTAATCTGTAAATGCGGTTAAATCTCACTTTAGTGATGAAACATTGCAAGATGAAGATACACAGGATGAAAATCGAAACAAAGATATAAGCAACGAAAGTGAGAACGATGAAGAAGACGATGAAGAAGGCGCCTATGATATGGGGCCAGAAGACAACGATAATGAGGAATTGGAAAACGAAGGTGGGAAAGAAAACGCTTTGACCAATCCAGAAAACGAGTCTTCAGATCCTATTTTCCGCAGAATCGTACGTATTGGTCGCCGAGTAGTTAGACGTTTCCGCCGACGTAGAAGCCGTCGCGGGTCCTCGCGTCGTCGAAGAAGACGCTATCGTGGGTAAGCCAGAAACGTGGCTCGTGTAACGTTGAAAAGGTTAAAAAAATAGATTTTATGTATGAGATTAAGAGGGTAACTCTTCAGTCTTTCTCAGTAATACGAGTATGTTAAATGTGCTTTTAAATTTTTACAGTCTGCTGCTGATGTTGCTGTTTTTTCTTAAAGAAACGTCGTTGTTATTATTTTTTTTAACCCAGAGGACTTTGTTGATTATGAGAAAGTGTTTGGGACTTTGTTTCGTAGTTTATCGACACATAAATTACACACTTGTTGGCTATAGAGTGCAGTTAAAACCAGCTGCTCTACATCTTTGGATTTATCGTTCACTATAGAGCTTGCGCGTACTGTTAATTGCCGGTAAATTACTGTAGTCAGTTTTGATAATAACTTCAATAAGGTGCCACCAGTGTGATTATTTTTAGCAAGACGACTTATTTTGCGTAGATGCAGGGTTTAATCTGTAAATGCGGTTAAATCTCACTTTAGTGATGAAACATTGCAAGATGAAGATATGGGGCCAGAAGACAACGATAATGAGGAATTGGAGAACGAAGATGGAATAGAAAACGCTTTGACCAATCCAGAAAACGAGTCTTCAGATCCTATTTTCCGCAGAATCATACGACGTGTTGGTCGCAGAGTAATTCGACGTTTCCGCCGACGTAATAGCCGTCGACGAAGACGCCGCTTTGGTTGATGACTGAAACGACCAAAACGGTAAACAAACTATCTATCTACCTATCATTCTATCTATCTATCTATCTATCTATCTATCTATAAATGTTTGCCTGTCTGTCTATCCATGTATCTGTCTGTCTAACATTTCCTAAAGAGACTACTAACTCTTCAATAAGCAAGCTAAAAGGTAGAGCTAATTCCTTCACAAAACCCGAAAAGACCAGTTTCCATCTGTTGATCCAATAAGCCTAGCGTCGTCTAAGCCTTGTGAAATTTTTGCGATACTTTTCATTTTTGGTTTATTTTCACCTTATTAGTTGTTTAATTTTTCCTTATTTTAAACTTGTCTTTAATATTTAGTTTTATTTTATTTTCATTTAACTATATTTTTATTTTTTATCCTTATTTTCAAGAATTCTTTCATTTTGTTTTGATTTCAATTCGCTTGCCAGTTTATTTTGTAGTAGTAATTATTTTAAAACTTAAAAACAAACAAACAATCATGAGAGCGAACAACTAAGATCGCACGAGCCCAATGCAGGGGTGGATTTCAAACTATCTTAAATAGGAAGAGACCTTCCAATTGAATTGGCAATAATGAAATTAAACGTATCCAGCTAACAACTGGCACTTGTCCGAAATTAATAAATTTAGAACAATGGATATTACTGGTTTCCTTTCATTTTTTTCTTTTGTTTCCTCTTTGCTTGTTTGTTTGTTTGTTGTTGTTGTTGTTGTTGTTTCCTTTTGGGGGGGGGGGGCAAAGTTCCAAAAATTTTAACAATTACAACTAAGAATAAGTTTCATTCCTTTTATTCGCAATGTACTTTTAAGAAAAAGCGAGACAATCGTGACATGTATTTTCCTGCAACAATATATCACTGGTAGATCACACTGTTGCTCCATCGATATCAACCGCCCAATATTTCTTTTATCGGTGTTAACTTAAATCACTTGATAAAAGAATTATAAATACACAATTATTTCGCCAAAGGGTCGCTCAATGCTGGAATTGATTACAACTGATTACAGTCGGGATAAACTGTCTGTAAGTTCTTTTTCTTGTCTCTTATTTTTCTTATTTTTGCATCCCCTCTAGATTTGCCCAGATGTCCCTTTAAACTGAGATAAACTTGACATGAAAAATGAGTGAAGTGCAAAGCGAACAATAACACGATGTAATTAAGCTTGTTATCTTAAATTTTTTAAATTAAACTAGACTGCCTGCTAAAGATCTGTGAATGATATGTAATAAGATAATAAATAGCATTTACCACGTTGTTGAGCTCTTCTGTATCAGTTTCTTGTAATTATTTCTTAGCTAACATAGGGCACGATATTCAAGTTATTATTCATTGTGGTATGGGTGTATAGTAGGGTTCGTCTACCTTTTGACTGTCCACTGCTGGTCCTCATCAGTCCATGGCGTCGATTTGCTGAACGGGACTTAAACCAGGACTGTAACAGTTGCTAGTGATCGGTATATGTCGAACGTCACATCAGTTTTACAAATATTCAAGTTTAGTACTTGTTGCAGTACTAGATGCTTTCAAGAAATTGCTCTGTATCAAATATGTTCGTAAAAGTATTTACCTCTCAACTGCTTAATTCCATGGATTTAATGACCCTTCCTGTACATGTATTCATAATATTTTGAGCAAGTAAGCCATGATGATACTTTCATCACTGTTGCATTTCGGACGATTGAGAGACATGGGAACGAATTAATCAGAAATTGATATCCTGGCGGCATAGTTTAGAGGCGCGCGCAGGCTCGTGGGATAGTTTCGGACTATTTTTGGTTTTGGCGTGGGATTTGTGGCATTGTACGTCAGCTCAGTTGACGTGTTCGCTATTCGTTTTGTTTTGCATAGTTTCTTTTCCTATGGTTATGTTCTTACGTGTTCAGATTGGAATATAGCTTATGTGTTTGGGTTTTTTGACCTGCTTTCTTTGAAATTAGTCTCTTTGGAGTAGTCTATGTATTCACTGTTCTGTTTTTTGCGTAAATCATTTCCCCGTGGTTTCTTGCCACAGTATTGGCAGGGGACTACGTTTTCACACCTTTCTTGGCCACTTCTCAAAGGTGGTTTTAAGTTGGTTTTCGAATCTGACCTTGCACACTTTCTTGCCTAGAGCATGTAGTAAACAAACTAAAGGAACGTTTTTTTCTGTGTAAAGGCAGAAATGAACCAAGGGAAGGCGGAGTAATTGATCTGTAATCAAGAAGGACCAACATACTGCAAAGTGCAAAATACCAACAAGAGCTCTTCCAAATTTATATTTGAATCCATGGAAACCCTCGGGTAATGACTCACATAAGCGTTAGTAGGTATGCAAATATCCACAAAACCTTGCCTTACTGGGTGAATTTACTCCTCAATAGTGCTGCTCGGCTGGCCTAAATTTGTTTGTTTTTTTGTTTGTTTGTTTGTTTTTTTTAGTCCTATTTCAAAGGCTAAACACTCCACCGTCCACATCACTTTTGCGAAAAACATCTTGCGTCTACTTAAATTTCCCCTCGCGCGAAAAAGTTGAATAACTTGAAAACCGTTCAAGTTATATTATATGGAGTTATATAGAGTGGGATGAATAGGCGAACGGTTCGGTGGAGTTTGAAAATATTTTTGCCCAGATTTCGGATTTTAAGCAAGATTTTAACGCATTTTCGGATCCTGCAATTGCAGCGGATTGAGGATTCATCTATTTTAAATTGGGCGTGGATTTTCGTCTATGCGTGTAATTAAAATATTTTTGCCCGGGTTTCGGATTCAAGGCGAAAATGGAGGGGCGGATTTGTATATGTAATAGGACTACATGCTGTCCAATTTGGAAATAATTGGATGAAAAAATTCCGAGGACAGCCAAAATTAGACGAGGCCGTAGGCCGAGTCCAATTTCGCTGTCAGAGGAATTTTTTGAGAAAAATTATTTCCAACTTGGACAGTTTTTGCGAAATATTGTACACTTGAACCCGTCCGTTTGTAGTTGAAAAAAAAAAACACACACACACACACACACACACACATACGCAAGATCTAAAAAAGATTTCTTTTCCTAGTGTCATTCAAATTATTCTTTGCAAGTAAACAAACGTACAACTAGTATTGCTGTTTCATACTTTGGCATTTTGTTGCCAATTCAAATTTTGAAAGCTCCTTCAATGGTCTGAACACATACTGTGCTACAGATGAAAACCGCAGTTTCGAGTATAAAGAAGACAAAGCCACAACGCAAATACTTAATTTAAATACAAAAACTAGTGAAAATAAACAACTCATTCATTGCCTCAAACGATTTCCGCAGAATTGGTCCATTTGTTTTTGTACTGCCAACATCTAAACACAAGTATCTGTGTTTTCTTATTCTGGTTCAAAGTGTCACTGCTTGTGCATTTTCAAGAAATCTATGCGTTGATTGTTTCCAATACAAACTTTCATCTGTTTGGTCATACATTTTCCTTTGCTTTTAAATGGCCCAGAAAAGAAGCCAAAAGAAAACGGCACTACTGAGCAAGAAAACAAAACGACATTCACAGCAACAAAAAGCCAAGAGTGTTCGAGGACGAACCGGTGTCAGCCAACGAAACTTTTCTTGGTGCGTTGTCACAGGGACCTTGCGCTGATTGGCTAGTTTGCATTGCCTATGTTATTTTCTGACATTTGATTGGCTCAGACCAGCTGCCCTATTTTTCTTAAATTGGACAGTTTGCGTATTGGTAAAGGAAAGCCCTATCTGAAACTATCCAAATTAATCCTTAATTGGACAGTTCGTTAAAATTAATAATAGGGACCACGAGGAGCCGCATGCAGTACAATTTCTGTCCCGTAATTTAATCAGTTAAATCATTAAAGTTGACAGGTCTTTCTGATGATCAAAGCGACCGTTCGGTTTACCATTTACACCTTCAGTGCGAAGACTGTCACGGGAACATTAACACCTTCAGGATAATTGCTTACCATAACAGTGGTAGGTCGCGCGCGTCTGGTCGGTTTCGAAGAACGTGATCGTGACTGTTGTTTTCATTCAGTGACTGTGCGCGTTGATATGCCAACGTTTAAAACAGACTGCGACATTAAATTTTTGTTATAAAAGCAAAGAAGCTGCTGAGTAGAAACTAAACTGTCCCAGATCTATTCCGTTTCATTCATTCCGTTTCATTCGTTTCATTCATTTTGATGGGGTCTGTATGATGAATTTACTTCTGCCTTCTAATCAGGCACGTAAACAACATAGAGATAAAACATTTCATTTTGCTTTTGTGGAGTAAATTCATCTTAAGAAAGTTAAACTAGTGGACAACTTTCTCCGCGTACTTGTAAAAATGGGCATTTAAAATGTCGCGCTACAGTGCGAAAATCTTCTTGTCGTGGATTAGCTTTCAGTATACATATTGTTAATCTTCATTTCGCGCCAGAATAAATTAGTTTGCGCACAAAGGGCTTCTAAAAAAAGTCACAAGGTTTGTCCCACTTCGAGTCCACCTTCTGGAGATACGCCGGCATGGTAGTGGAATACATTGCCGAGGCGAAGATCTGGCATTTTTTCCTCCTCGTCTTTTTTTCCCCGCGACGTTTGTTTATATTTGTAGTGAGAATGCCGTGCATATCGGTGGATTTTACTTCAGTGAAGTGGGCTTCAGTTCCTGCGGCTTGCTACTCATCATAAAGAAGAGTGCCGGAATCGCTTTGTTCGCCTTTAACAGATTTGTTGTCGAATGCAAGGTAAAAGAACGGACTACTGTAAGGTAAGAATTGAAGTTTAAATTTGTTTCTCGACGAAAAATGGTGCATACAACTCGTGAAACCCGTGAGTATTACCTCTGTTTAATATACCGGATGTCATGCGATGACCCCTCGCTTTTACGATGGATAAGACCGATACAAACAATAATTTCTTTCGCAACGTTTAGTATAATTTACTTAATATGGAGATCATCTGAGGACGATTTTTCGTTATATATGCTTCATTTCTTGGCTTATTCCGGCTACGTGCGAAAAATTAGATGACAATGTTTGTGTGCTATAATTATACTGATAATTTCTTGCACCTTGAAACTAATGAAAGCCAAACTTGTTTAACCCTAGCAAAAACCTCTTTTAATGGAGAAACTCAACCTGATAGTTGCACTAAAATCTAATAATTGTCACTGCATTTGCATGCTCTCTGTAACCTCGTGGGTAGAACATACCTGATGGTTACATTAATAATAATCACTGCATTTGCTCTCTGTAGCCTCGTGGGTAGAACATACCTGAAGGTTACGTTAATAATAATCATTGCATTTTCTCTTTGTAACCTCGTGGGTAGAATATACCTGATGGTTACATTAATAATAATCACTGCATTTGCTCTCTGTAACCTCGTGGGTAGAACATACCTGAAGGTTACGTTAATAATTATCATTGCACTTTCTCTTTGTAACCTCGTGGGTAGAACATACCTGAAGGTTACGTTAATAATAATCATTGCATTTGCTCTCCGTAACCTCGTGGGTAGAATATACCTGACGGTTACATCTAATAATCACTGTAACCTCGTGGGTAGAACATACCTGAGGGTTACGTTAATAATAATCATTGCATTTTCACTTTGTAACCTCGTGGGTAGAACATACCTGATGGTTACATTAATAATAATCACTGCATTTGCTGTCCGTAAACTCGTGGGTAGAGTATATTACATTAATAATAATCATTGCATTTTCTCTTTGTAACCTATGCCTCTCTCCTGGAAATTTTGCCCTGTCCTTTGAGCATAGTGATCTTTGGGTAGCAAATTCACGAAAACAGGGAAAACGCTTTTTTTAACAACAGCATTTATATTATTTGGCTTTTTGAGGGAGGTTAAACAATAATTGAATAGAATATAAAAAAAGCTGATAAAGCGGAAAAATTTATCTTTACAAAATGCGCTTTGACAATGTCAAGAGTGAAATAAGCTGAAGTTTTGTAGTTAGCCCGAAGAAAACCTGTTCCTGCATGAAAAGCAGTTCTGATTCCCTTCTCTTAACTAGAAGAGATGCATATCCCTGTGACCCAGTTTTTTAACCAGGAGCGATTCCCACTCACTTCTGATACTTTATTGACACGAGTTCCTATTTCAATATATGTCTAATTCAAGCTTAGCCGGGTGATAGCTCTTCATTAGCGAAAAGGTCTAAGTGATATTTTGATTGACGTGTTGTTTTGGATCCTGAGGTTTTTTAACACCTTTTCTCTAGCTTAACTGGCGAAGATATTCTAGGAATTTGCCCTTCAATTCCAAATTCTTTGATGTGCCGCCAGATGCCGTGCAAAAATATCACCGCTTGCGGCTCCTCGTGTTAGAATCCACCGACGCGCCGGCAATGAGAACGTCGCTTAAAAAGTTGCGTGCTTCCAGTCTTTATCGCAATTATTCCTAGCCACTTACTATGTCAAATGTAGGCGAACCCTCCTGAAATGGAATTCCTAGGGACCATATCCAAGTTCGCAAAGAGAAATAAAATTTCGCTGTTGCTTGTTTACGTACTCTATAAAACGCGAAATTAGGCATTTTCACGTCGTATTTGTGCAAAAACGGGCAAAGAAATGTAGAAAAAAGCGTGATGAACATGCACAGATGTTGTTTTGCTTCAAAAACCTATTGTTTTTTTGACGTTCTCTTTGCCGTCCGCGTCGTTGGATCTGAAAGTTCCTAATAATAGCTTTGCTGTCAATATCGGATTAACTAACAGCTATATAATTAGGTTAATAAATCATAACGGTTCGGCGGATCTACATACTTCTATTCACCCCCGTCTATATATGACCACCAAATTTAGCGACTTTTCCTAAAAATTATCTGCAAACATTTTAATTTAAAGTGGTCGTGACATGGACGTCAACATTGACGTTACCATAGGAATCAAGTTTTGTCAGCCATGTTTTTCACAATTTGCACTTTTTTTTCTAAAAAATGGGTTTTAATTATGTTCTTACCAATGGAATTATGATATTACATTTACATTAGCATTATCTTATCAAAGTTATTGTCGCTGTCGATGAAATCCAGGCTTTGTAGTGACTAAAATAAAACACAAACAGCGGTGATAAACATTGTGAGGTTTCGCATTTTTGTAAACTTGACTAGCACTATTCAACATACATTTTCAAAAGTGATCTTAAGTGACCATTAAAGCAAGTGACGAGAATATATATTAAAAAATTACAGACGCTAAGATCACTCTTCAGTTATTGTTGACCGTGAAGTTCCTACCACTGGACATAACATTAAATGGGATCGCTTTTGAAATCTTAGCATCTGACAAAACAGATTATCATTGTAACAAATAAAAGAAACATTTTTGTCTATTTTGTCATGATTTATTTTGTTTATACAAGGCCTTACGCCAGCTTTTAATGTCAACATCAGCAGTGAAAAGCTGTTGCTTTATTGGCTGTTGCCTAAATTTTGTATTCATTACTGTTAAGAATTTTTAAATTCTTATTCTCATTTCCAGACCTCTTGTAAAAAATATGTAGTTTCGTCATTTGCTTTAACGCACACTTATGATAACTTTTGAAAATGTATGTTGAATAGCATACGAACGTCAAGTTTAAAGAATTGCAAAACCTCAAAATGTTTATCACCGCTGTTTGTGTTTTATCTTTGATCAAACTACGTTGGCCTAACAACAAAAGTCTCTTTGTAGCGACTAGTTTGAGAAAAAAAAAACATGACCAAATGGAACATGCTGAGTTTAATTTCCAACAGTGTTCATTTCTCCCCGAATTGCATATTTTGTAGATTTTTTTGCTTCCTATGCATCCTTTAATACTCAGATCAAGTTTCATATTAAAAATTCCTCGATGTATGTGGGTTTTAAGTAATTCAAAGTTACGGCTCTAAGATGGCGGATGCTTTCAGTCCCTTTTCAGTAATAGATGATGCCATCATGACATCACTGCTATTGTTAAAGGTTATTTATACGTTAGCGAACTTGTTGATTTTATCAAATACCTTAGTATTTAAGTATTTTTCGCTTAAATGTACTTTGAGGAAATTTGGAATCTGCCAATAAATTCAACAATATGACGTCAGATTACGTCATTGCGTCAATAATCAATATGCCTAGATGTTGAAAATGATGAGTACTTGTAATTTTGCTTGCTGTAGCATGAGCAGTTTTGAAATAGGCTAGTTTCGTATTCCCGGGCGGCCTAGGACGAGCGATTTTTTTTGCGCAAAAGCGAGGCTAATGCGGGTCACTTCTCACCAAGAAGCCAAACAAACATAAGAAAACTGCGGCTGAGTTGGATTAAGAAAAAACGATTTAAACGTTGAAAGGTTTTGGAGGTCTCAAAACTTACTTACAGGCTTGAGAACTCATTGTTTCAAACAGCACAAAAAAATCAGCACGTCATCACTACAGAAATACGACGAGGATAACCAGAAATTGACCGAAATAGTGGTCGGTGATTCAGATCAATAAAAATGCGAGATGGTTTCAAAATCTTTTAACAAGGTAAATACCTTACAGCCATATTAACGTCATTTTCAGTGATGGTTAAAACTTCTTTAAGCCATGTTTTTTCCAATGCAGTTTACGTTCTTGTCGAAAGTTTTTAAATTATACTGAAACCTTCTTTCTAGCTAAAAATTTGTCTAACGGAGCCAATGCAAAATCTTGTGTATTTGGAAAAAAAAATAGTTGAATAGGCTTAAACGAAGATGACTAAAACGTATAAGTTTATTTATACATTTATAAGCTTACATTTAGCTTACATGGTTTATCAAATTTTTCAGTCACATAAAGAAAAACGTATGCACACTTCACTCGACAAGACCTCGAATACAGAATTCCACACAGAACATATACTAAGCAGTTTAAAGGGATACTCTATACCCGGCCAAAACGGCAATTTTACGAAAAGATAGCTTACGGCCTTATTTTAAGATTTTGATAAAATAAAATGTCCAGTTCTTCTGCATCTGCTTGAAAACGATAAAAGCTGTTCGTCACGCAATTTTAATTTTGCGCTTCAGCTATAGAAACCGATAATGACGTAGAAAGAAGGTACTGTCTTAAATCAATACAAAGTGGCTTCTAGGTTTCCGGTCCGTTTTGAACGGTCAATAAAGGATTTTTTGGATGATATTTCAGGGAGAATTTTGTAATACCACACTGCTGCATCGCTGTTGATTGTTTCAACACTCGACGGAGTTAGTCTATCACTAGCATTGGCCAGATGATCGCCGATATGATCCTCAGAATTGGTCTACATGTATCTGATTTACTTCTGACGATGTTTTCATTGCATAGTGTGTTACGTATTGTATTTGTCGAATTTAATATGTGGGTTGGCCCTATAATAGCACAGGTAACCCAGGCTCTGTGATAGTACCACAGTACGGTTCCAGTAAAATTACAGTGTTTGTATGGGGTAAAAATATCATCCTAAAATTTCTAGGAAATACTAAATAAAGGTCAATGAAACTTACTCTGCAGTTAATTGTTGTTGTCCTTATTGTTCCAACGAAGTTTCGTGATAATTTGCAGTAATTTGTTCAAATTCACTCTATCTACAATAATAATATACAAGGTAGGAAACACGAGGTGCCATTTTCGCCGACATGCTCTCATTCAACACAACTTTTTCCACGAAATTCGAACTCCAACGGAAAATAAACATGCCAGGATCGTAGAAATAGGATAGCAGCAGATATAGAAACCAATGAAGCTTTCCCAGATAGAGAAACGAATCCCACAGACTTGGACAAACTCGAAGAATATAATCCAAACACACCGAGAATACGCTCGCCGAAGCAGCCGGGCCAGATCAACGTGCGGCCAAGAAAATGAAGCCTGGGCACTGTACAAAAAAATTCCATCCCGGGGGTCCTGGGGTGACCTTTCTAGGGACCGATACATCATTTGCCCAAGGCCACCCTCCCCTGCTGGAAAAATACTTGATAGAAGGCAATTGTTCTTCTTAGCCAATCACCATTTGCCAGAGCAAACCCCGCACACGCGCCTGAATTTAAATGGCTAAAAAAAAAGTAATATAATCAGGAGAGTCTGCGGAGTTACAAGGCGTCCCATTCCTTTTACTAAGGAATGCAAATAACAGTAATGAAACTAATGAAAAAACAACGCGAAATGCTTACAAGGCGGGCTAAAAACAAGGTTGAACAAAAGGTAGATGATGACTGAGATACTGTTGCTGTGAACCCTCGAGCGAAACTACCGTAAATAAACAGTGAAGCTTACAAACTAATGTCAAAAATTATACAGAAAATTGCATCAGAATATGAATTGCGATAACTGAGACGAATGTGAAAGGCACGTGCACTAGTAAACAAAGAACTAGCGCGATTAACATATTTAGCGATTAATGCGGCAGTAACACGCCAACTTCTTGTCAATACAAGTGAACGCTCTATCAGTTAAATATGTGAATCATCGAGATACACCTCTCTTTGAATTTGGTCCTGTTGTACAAATGCCTCGGTAAGAGCCAAAATTCGCTTATATCTTTTGCTCGTTTTAAGTTTTGTAAATCCTCCTTCGTTGTTCTTTCCTTTGCCCTTATAACCTTGCCCTATTGATGTTTGATAAACTTTCTGAGGACCCGCGCCAGGAGCTGAATATAGTTCGAGAGGAAAATAATCTCTTTATAACAGGCCATAGTGATTGGCTAGGAAGAACAATTGCCTTCTATCAAGTATTTTTCCAGCAGGGGAGGGTGGCCTTGGGCAAATGATGTATCGGTCCCTAGAAAGGTCACCCCAGGACCCCCGGATCGGATTTTTTTTTGTATAGTGCCCAGGCTTCATTTTCTTGGCCGCGGGTTGATCTGGCCCGGCTGCTTCGGCGAGCGTATTCTCGGTGTGTTTGGATTATATTCTTCGAGTTTGTCCAAGTCTGTGGGATTCGTTTCTCTATCTGGGAAAGCTTCATTGGTTTCTATATCTGCTGCTATCCTATTTCTACGATCCTGGCATGTTTATTTTCCGTTGGAGTTCGAATTTCGTGGAAAAAGTTGTGTTGAATGAGAGCATGTCGGCGAAAATGGCACCTCGTGTTTCCTACCTTGTATATTATTATTGTAGATAGAGTGAATTTGAACAAATTACTGCAAATTATCACGAAACTTCGTTGGAACAATAAGGACAACAACAATTAACTGCAGAGTAAGTTTCATTGACCTTTATTTAGTATTTCCTAGAAATTTTAGGATGATATTTTTACCCCATACAAACACTGTAATTTTACTGGAACCGTACTGTGGTACTATCACAGAGCCTGGGTTACCTGTGATAATAGTGAATGGCCAATCAAAGATGTATTTATTTTTTTGTTGACCATATTACAACAACACTTGGCGTATTTACGTCCTCAATTAATATATAATCTGGTCTAGTTACCAACATTAGGCTAAGCTATGTAGATTAGTCGATTGGTTATTAATATGATAACTTTATCTTATCAAATTTTGCCAGTGTTTAAATTCTCAGTATATCAGCTGTGAGGATTATTCCATAACTGACAACATCCTTCACAATTCGTGTTAGAAATTTTAGCGGAGCTCTCGCGCGTACACCGACCGACCGCCCGACCGTCCGTCCGTCCGCACCACAAGCAAACCAATGTAAAATAACTCAATCAACAGGTCAACAGGTATGGCAGCCCAAATGCAAACACGAGGTTATTTTGGCGGAAAATCGCATAGCCACCCGCGTCTGAGACAACTAAAGAGTCAATGAAGACAAAAACGGAAAGGGGAAATTGTCTCTGTATCTGTGTTTTCTAAAGTATTAGGCTTAGATTAATTGTCATGTCCACAAATTTGGAATATAGAGCAAGAGAAAGACAGAGAAAAAGAGAAAGTAGGCGGCAAGCTAGCGAAGCTCAACGAGAAAAGGACGACAGAGATCTAGAGCGAGAGATAAAAAATCAAAGGAGACACTTTTTGTTGGAAGAACAACATGAAAATGTTGTTGCGGCGGTGACAAAAATGAGAAATGCTAGCGGCCAACAATGCAAGGTGAAAATGAGCGGCAGTGAAAAAAAGTGAACGCGAACACGTACGACATTTCCTCCATAAAAAGTGTAACTAGGAAGTTTCTGGAAGTTTCACGTTGTAGTCGTGCAAAACAAAGGCAAAGAAGTGTGCAAAAAAAGTGTGCTGCACGTGCAAAAATGTTTTTTTGCTAATTAGACCTATTGTTGTTTTTCACCGTTCTCCGGCGTTGCCTTCGCCGCTTAGCATTACACGATTTTATATTTTCTTTGAACAAACTATAACGAATATTATCGAGAGCTCCGCTTCGTACATTTCGGTCGTACATTGTTGTTGCTCTTTCTATTTTGGAGACTATGATGATAACTCTATGGCACCCATCTGGCGTGATGCCACTGGCCTGTGTATAGGCACAGTATATTTTTTATTACAGTCAGCACTCTAAGGCGAAACTGTGTTGTATTCTCTGCCCTGCTATGCTACACCGCTGTTTATACGTTGTTTGTCTGTGTTGTCATGTGCTGCTGTATTGGTTTTGTATTTGGCCTCTTAAGGCCACCCCTAGTAATCGGGTCTGGCCTTGCTTTGAACGCTGCCTGTTTTGTTTTGTCTTTATTTTGCTTTCGCATCGGACAATGCCTCGTCCTTTATGTCCCAAAATGACAGCACGTAGGTTGGGGCCCTCTGGCTTCCCACGTCAGGCGTGTGTGCACAGGACTCTTTACCTTCCACATCTACATCCAGCTTCACACCAACTGCCACGACATCATCCCCACCCACCTTGAAATCACCATCCATAGTCAACCCCAGTTCAACCATGGTTCAGGATATAGCTAAAGCAGTATGTGAAGCAGTTATCCAGTCTCTGGATCCCTTCATGGTGCACGTGTATCTGCAGTCTGTCTCGGGGTCAGTGTCCTCACTGGTGAAAACACCAGTGAGCAGATGCCACTGTACAGGAGTCTGTGGCTTCTGCTATAAATTCTCTCTCAGATGAGCCTTCATCTGAGGTGGCTCCAGCTTATGAAAATTGCTTCCTTTTTAAAATCATTATATTTTGCTGATTAGCATCTGTAATGCAACCTCTACCTTTATCTAATGTGATGTCAGATGCTCGCTTAAACTGGAGACTTTCCGTAAAGAAACACTCACCGCTAACAACCGTTCGTTAAAGTTAATTTTGCCACCGGGTCCCCGGGTGGATGAACCTTTCTTATCTTCCGCTTAAGTTGGTTCTGCTTGAAATTCATTGGCAATTTCTTTCACTTCGTCGTTGCTTGCCACTTCATCATTGAGCCTTGATCCCCTTCTTGCGCCTTTATATCTTTGACAGCCCTCTGTAACAGATCCAGTAGAATCTATATCTTCACTGGGCTCTCGATTAAAACGTCACTGGGTTGGTTTATTTTCTTCTGGGTTTTCTTACCTTAGTTGTTTAGTTGTGTTCTTCCCATAAAAGGGGGGGGGGCCTTACGTTTTTACCGGCATGAAAACTTTGAACAGCTTGTACATATTTCTATAGCGACAAGAACTAAACGGCTTGCTCTTTTTAATGTGAGATTGATAACCTGTACCCTCTGTATTTTGTTTTTAATTTGTCAATGTTAATAAATGCTTTATATTTTTGCTTCTTGTAAACAGATATGAACAACGAAATACACTAGTCTTGTGCAATGTAGAAAGTGAACGGGAAAGCAAAAAATCATTCGGGTAGAAACAAGTTATTTGTCAGGTACCGGGGAGGCTAAATAATCACTGGGTAGACTGAATTAAACCACTGGGTAGGGTTTCACTGGGTCTGTTACGAAGGGGTGTTCTTTGCAGCGACATTTTTTAAGTATGTTGATACTGTAAAAATCAAACGGCGACTTCCGTTAAGAATAAAAATGCTCAACCCACGGCCCCCAAAATTAGCATCTGTTTTATAACATCTTCCGAAATTTAATGAAGTTTAAATTGAGAACCTACACTTCAAGCCTCTTTAGCTAAGTGCTGAGGCCAACACGTATGTCCGAAATTGTATTCTTTTTCATCGGTAATAAAAATAGACCATGAAGAAAGGAAAAAGTAACACTTCACATGTCGTTTCTCAAGTAAAAGTTGTTTGGATCGCAAACAATTATTAATAATAGCCTATTAATTTATCACTGAGTGCACTTCTTGTAAAACGTGATTAAGAAATTAAAGATTATAATTGTTGTTGTTGTTGTTGCATATTCTCGTGGTCTATTTCTGTAAGAAAAGCCTTTTTTTGGTCTTTCAAATAGCTTTTTCCTTTACGTACCTTAGTAATAGCCGAAAAGAAAGAGCATACGTAAATCATTACGAAGAACATCCTTGTCCGGATATTACAAAGATGCCCTGATATCTTACAAAAAACAATAATTGTCGATGAGTTACTTGAATATTGTTACTTAATATTCTGCAAGCATGTCAAACACTGAAATTTTATCTCCCACTATGAAATTTTTTTAAAAATTTCAATATTCTAAATCATATCAAATATTGAACCATTTTTCCATTGCGATCTTTCTCCAACGTTCCATTTCATCATATCTGCTCAAGGATCCTATTTTCCCAAAGAGACCTATCCTTTGAAAAGTGTTCTCGCACATAAAGTTGCCATTGGGCGCTTTCCTTTTACCAAGAAATTCTCGATATTCCGGTTGGGATGTAAATGGAGAACACCATCTTCCTGTAGCATGTGTTGCAGCCGGCCTACGCGTCGGTCTAGACTATTGGAGGTGGTTTAGGGTGTATGCGACGCAGGCTAGTATACGGGCATTTCAATGAAAAATTCCCTGGAATAAGTGGAACTATTAATAGGTTTCTCCGTTGGAAACGTTCTGATGGAGATGAGTGTTTCATTAAAGAGTGTTCGCAAAGGTTTACGTGTTCCAGGCTGTTCACGGCGATTTCATGTGACGCCATCTTGAATTATCGCAAGAGAAGGGAACAAACGTTGTTATTGCAGAAAACGCCCTCATGTATCAAAATATTTCACGGTATAATATTTTAAACAAAAGGGACACATGGCAAAATCAGATGTGAATCACTTTTTTTGGATGTCAAACCTTACATCGATACTGAGTGCCCTTGAATCCTTTCGATTCTTCCCGTAAGAAAAGTCTTATTTTCATTATTATTTTTTTCAAACAACTTCCCTTCAAGTAGCTTAGTTCAGACTGAGCCAAAAAGAGTATTAGAGTAATTTAAACAGCCCGGTTTGGCTTGTTTTGCCCAAGATGTTTGTATACTGATTTCTCACTCGACAACTCTAACTAGAGAGATATTAGCGTCGATATTGCTTCTGATATTTTGGTTTTGTGAGTCCTATTGGTGTTAAGATGTTATAACTGTATTCATCCCGGCCCGTTCTCGTGGCATTACTGGTGCCAGGAGTGTGTCTCCAATAGCCGGGCTCCCTTTAACACACCTGCTAAAAGACTGAAGGCAGGAAAAGTATTTTAATTGCTATTTATTGTATTTTTTTTTCTGCATCTGTAAAGTACTCTAAAATGCTAAAAATAAATGGGATCGTGAAAACTCCTTGACATTGGCTTATATATAGTAAGGGAGATCAACAGCTGCTCTGTTTTGGGACTCCTGATAGGTTCTGTAAGTATCGAGGGATCCAAATACAAGTAACTTTAGCATTGTAAATGATTGGATTATACAAATAATAAAAAAAGACGAGACCCGATGTCAATTTTTGCCCAATTTGTTTTCTGTGAGAACATCATGCAAAGAGCCATCGTTTCGGCGCGGATTTCGTACTTTCTGTACTTTCCCTTGAAACCATACGGCCTGGGTCTATTGTAGTGATCAGAAACCGACCCGAACAATAATGTTAGTGAATGTTAATGCATAAATCATAATTCACATTATCCAACCTTTTTAGAACTTCAGGAATCATTTTTGTTTATCCTTACTGACAATAAAGTAAAGGTAGTAACTCTTCCTACATTTTAATTCTAATTTTGCAAATACTTAGTAGGTTATAATGAGAAGGACTCGCACACTGGTGTTGCTATAAAAATTAGCGTCCCTGATCTGCATCCGCAAAATTAAAAGAGAAAATATTGCGGCTGATATTATATCAGACTAATTTTGCAATATGTCACTTGTTTGAATTTTACTTTACGAATAAGATATCTAATCTAAATTGAACTCATAACTCCATAACTCCAACTATTTCACATTTCAATTTATTGGTAACAGCTAGGAATCGACAAAATTTGACTGGGGAGTTAAAAGCGTTTGTCCACCCGGCATAAGTTACTACCGGTGAGAAACAATTTATTTGATCATATAAACATTGACACATACAGAGATAACTTAATGGGAAGAAAAACTTTCCGAAGGAAAAATCCCGGCCTTTTTAATTTAATTTCAATTTCTGTTTTTCTTTTTTAGGAATGAGAGTAATTGTAGAAGGACGCAGATTTCTATAGCAATTCTTCATTTATTAGAAGTCGTTCTAATTCAAGTGTTGAATAGTTGTATTACCTGTAACTCCTTTGAAAAGGGTCAGTTATATGAAAAATTATAGTATGCTTACATGGGCATAGCGTGGTTTTACCGTTTAGGTACGCTAACTTTAGTTCTAACTTTGTTCGTTGTCGTTGTTGTTCTTTTTGTTGTTGTTGTTGTTTTTGTTGTAGTCGTTAAAGCGGCTGTGTCACAGCAGTCCAGTTCATTTTGTTTTATTTTGCCAATTACTCGCCCTCAATCGCTATGGAACTGAAACTAGGCAAACGAATCACATGATTAGAGACAAACAAATATGTCCTCTGAGCATTACTTTTGAAGCTGCAAACAGCAGAGTTAAACTTTGAAAAACTGTTAGGCTGAAACCCTAATAACAATTATATTGAAATTGCGTTAAAATTTCTGTTGCGTTATTTTAACCTTCCTTTAACGTTTTAAGCGGTTATTTTTATGTTTCTTTTAATTTAAAGAGCATTTTGCAATAACCTAATTCTGGCTGAATTTCGTGACACAGCTCCTTTAATTAAACAAGTTGAGGAGATTTACTTTGACTAGCTCGACCAATTTTAAGTGTTTCCTCTTTGCTTTACATCCTGTTAATTATGTTTGATGTGACGAGAAGTCAATGCATGGCTTCGTGGTACAGCCGATATTCAGTACTGAGTTAAAAAGTGATATTTGCTAGTTTCTTGGTTTAAGTACACTTTTCCGATATTTGATTATATTGTTAGCAGATGCATTGAATGCATCCTTACGCAACTGCGTACCTCAAAAAACTAAATGATAATTATATATATTTTTTCATTCTATTTATTTCTTTATTTGACTAATTTATTTATAGATTTTTTGAAAAAAACGACCTTTACACATGTAAGACTTTTTTGCTTGTATTGCTGCTATTTTACTAAAAAAAAAATGTGAATTTTGTACTATTCATTTTAATATGGGTTCAAAACCCTGTCATCACAACCACAGTAACAAAATCAAAAGCCAACAAAAAAAAGAAAGAAATGGATCGAAATCCACGAATAGCAATACAAAGACTTTACCTTTTGAACACTTGAAGTCATTTTCTTCCTTTTTCTGAGAGGTCCACGAAAGAATTTGATCCGATTTGATGAAAGCGTGAAATGCAGTCATTTCGGGTCAGAATTTATGAGTTCATGTTCAAGGTGCTCAGTTCAGTAAAAATTTGAGTGGTAAATGAATTAAATGGCCCAAAGATCAATAAGCGACTTCTTTAGCCGGGGTGTGATTAACAAGGTTAATGAAAGGGAACCAACCAACAGAGGATAAGTCCCTTTTTAACAATTACATCAAGTTATATTTATACCAGTAGTACCAAAGGTTGACAAATAAACAACAAAGTTACTATATAGTTAGCGTTTTTTTTTTTTTTTTTTCATACTATGATTTATGAAACTTCCCCCTGGAAATCATGGGAAATGGAATTTCCAAGGTCCCTAAAAATAAAAATCCTCTGGGGAGTATGTCCCCAGATCTCCCTAGAGTCTTGCGCCTTCCCCGCTTGTTTCACTACGCCTTCCTGTGCGTATACGCCCCTGCGTTCTAACTAACTTCCTCTACAAGTACCGCCTAAGGGGGGAAAAATCACAAATTATTTGTTGCAAATCACGATCAGTGGTTTCACAGTAGCTGTAGAAAAGGATGTGCAGTTAAAAAATAAAATGTCTTTCAACGCTTGGCATCCGGAAACGTCACCAGATCCTCTATAATCAAACCTCCGAAAAAGCATTTTGAATTATTTTGCATATTAAAGTTACATATGACTTATTTATTATTACAGCGAATTGTCTTTATTAGTTTGCGTTATTAGCGGGTAGTTATTGACGTTACTGATTAACGGAGAAAATTAGGGAAATAAATTGTTGTTGCCTGACATTAATTTAGCAACCAGCTTGTAATTGAACTGTAGTATTTCGATAAGAAAGAGTAGATTGGTCCTCTTTACTTACTATTAACACTAAAAATTGCTTGAAAATGTGAGTGTGGTCACAAGCACAAACAACAACAGTAACAATCAAACGAATACAGGTCTGTCAACTGGATCCGATAAGACTAAGCCAAATCCTATGCACATTGTCTTGTGCAAAGGCAACCTTTTCATGGCAAAGCTAGGCATTTCAACTTCTCAACAACAACTGTAATAACGGTAACAATAAATACTACTACTACTACTACTACTACTACTACTACTACTACTACTACTAAATAAATACTATTAATAAAAATAATAATAACAATAATAATGATAATAATTAAGAAGAAGAAGAGGAAGAATAATTATAAGAAGAAGAGTAATAAAAGCAACAACAATAAGGTTTTTTTTTAGCAGACTTCAACTGATTAATGACATTACTTTGGCCCCCAGGTAGCATAGGGGCTAGTCCAGGCGAGTACAATACAAGAAATTACATCCGTATGTACTGAAATAAACTGAAAATATAGAGGCATTCTAGATTGCACTGCTAGTTTTAACTTCTTTTAATAGAGGTACTTAAAAGGAGAAACGAAAATACACACCTAAATAATAAAGGCAACAATTAAATCAGAAAAAATGTCGCAAACCCTCGCCTACTGACTGGAGAAAAGCCTCAATGCCGCGGGTAAAGTGGTTCAAAACCTCACGCAAACCTTGATATCGTATCTCTCAACTTTAAAAGAAATAAGAGTGATAATTTAAAACAATTTCTTAGGGTAAAGTTTGCTCCTTTTTTTTGCTTTTTAGGTTGCCTAGGTATAGGAATATAGAGATAAAAACCATGAATAATACTCAGTCTTGCTTTGTTAAAATTTGAACAGAGCCTTTAAATTAATATTTGTTCATATATATTTTTTAACCAGAGTCATTGCAAGTCATTACAAGTTTTAAGACGACATTTTCTGTTCGAAACATTTTTGGTCAAGGAGATATTTACTTATTGGCTTACTGTGGCTGATATTTAGCTTTACTTATAAATCCTCAGAATATTATTTTCGGAGGAGCTTAGAATCAAACGCGGTGTTAAATTTAGAAAGAATTTTGATTTTTTTTTTTGTTGTCCTTGTTGCTTTTTTTGTTGTTTTGTGAGTATAATTAATCTTTTCATTCAACATATCACGACATTTACGATCAATGCAAAGCGTATAAAAGCGCGACATACGTGTTTCCAAGAACCAGTAGTCACGAAGATTTGGAGATGAAGACTCTAATTCTGTTGGCACTGCTGGCCATCAGCTTGGCTAGTCCATTCAACGGAGATGCAGTTGCAGCAGATGACAATCAAACAAATGATCTTGTGAATGATCTCCGAGAAAGGTAAGGCAGAAACGTAGGTTGTTCGTGCAATGTTGAATAAGTTAAATCATGGTATTATAGATTAGATGATTACAATGAGTCAATTGACTGTAATTATGTTAAATGTGCTTCAAAATGTTTTCCCGCTGCTGCTGTTGCTGCTCTTTCATCAAATAAACGTCGTCGCTTTTCAACGCAGAGCACATCGTTTATTATAATGAAAAGGGTCTTGAGATTTTTTTTCGTACTTTATTGGCACGTAAGGTACACCTGCTGGCTTTAGAGTGAACTTAAGACCCAGCAGTGTTCGGAAGTATCGTCCAATGTACAGCTGGCGCGTACTTTAAATTAATTGCCTGTAAATGACTGAGGTCAGCTTTCATAATAACTTTAATAAGTTTTCACCATTGTGTTTATTTTCTCCAGCAATGGCGAGTTTTTTTAGAAGATTTCATACGGCTGATTTCGTACAACGGACCGTGTGTTCGCCTCGGTTGTAGTTTCTTCCTGGCTACGGCCCTGCATGCTCGGTTTAATCTATAAATTGGGTTATATCTCATTTTAGTGATAAAAATTTGCAAGATGAAGATAAACAGGATGAAAACCCAAACAAACATATAAACAACAAGAATGAGAACGATGAAGATGAAGATGAGGAAGGCGCCTATGATATGGAGCCAGAAGACGACGACGATGAGGAATTTGAGAACGAAGATGGGAAAGAAAACGCTTTGGCTAATCCAGAATACGAGTCTTCAGATCCTGCTTTGCCTATTGTGCCTTTTCTAGCAAAGCGTCTCATCCGTGCTCGCCGTATAATACGTGGAATTCGACGTTTACGCCGACGAAGACGAAGCCGCCGCCGGTCTTCGCGTGGTCGAAAACGTGGGTAAGGCAGAAATGAAGCTCGTGTAATGTTGAATGGGTTAAAAAGATAGAATATATGTAAGAGATTAAGAGGGTATCTCTCCAGTCTTTCTCAGTGGTACGAGTATCTTAAATCTGCTTTTAAATTTTTACAGTCTGCTGCTGATGTTGCTGTTTTTCTTAAAGAAACGTCGTCGTTGTTATGTTTTTTTTTTAACCCAGAGAACTTTGCTGATTCTGAGAAGGTGTTTGAGACTTTGTTTCGTGGTTTATCGACTCATAAATTACACACTTGTTGGCTATAGAGTGCACTTAAAACCGGTTGCTGTTCATCTTTGGATTTATCGTTCACTATAGATCTTGCACGTACTGTTAATTGCCGGTAAATTACTGTAGTCAGTTTTGATAATAACTTCAATAAGGTGCCACCAGTGTAATTATTTTCAGCAAGACGACTTATTTTGCGTAGATGCAGGGTTTAATCTGTAAATGCGGTTAAATCTCACTTTAGTGATGAAACATTGCAAGATGAAGATACACAGGATGGAATTCTAAACAAAGATATAAGCAACGAAAGTGAGAACGATGAAGAAGACGATGAAGAAGGCGCCTATGATATGGGGCCAGAAGACAACGATAATGAGGAATTGGAAAACGAAGATGGGAAAGAAAACGCTTTGACCAATCCAGAAAACGAGTCTTCAGATCCTATTTTCCGCAGAATCGTACGTATTGGTCGCCGAGTAGTTCGACGTTTCCGCCGACGTAGAAGCCGTCGCGGGTCCTCGCGTCGTCGAAGAAGACGCTATCGTGGGTAAGCCAGAAACGTGGCTCGTGTAACGTTGAATAGGTTAAAAAAATAGATTTTATGTATGAGATTAAGAGGGTAACTCTTCAGTCTATCTCAGTGGTACGAGTATGTTAAATCTGCTTTAAAATTTTTACAGTCTGCTGCTGATGTTGCTGTTTTTCTTAAAGAAACGTCGTTTTTATTATTTTTTTTAACCCAGAGGACTTTGTTGATTATGAGAAAGTGTTTGGGACTTTGTTTCGTGGTTTATCGACACATAAATTACACACTTGTTGGCTATAGAGTGCAGTTAAAACCAGCTGCTCTACATCTTTGGATTTATCGTTCACTATAGAGCTTGCGCGTACTGTTAATTGCCGGTAAATTACTGTACTCAGTTTTGATAATAACTTCAATAAAGTGCCACCAGTGTGATTATTTTTAGCAAGACGACTTATTTTGCGTAGATGCAGGGTTTAATCTGTAAATGCGGTTAAATCTCACTTTAGTGATGAAACATTGCAAGATGAAGATATGGGGCCAGAAGACAACGATGGTGAGGAATTGGAGAACGAAGATGGAATAGAAAACGCTTTGACCAATCCAGAAAACGAGTCTTCAGATCCTATTTTCCGCAAAATCATACGACGTGTTGGTCGCAGATTAATTCGACGTTTCCGCCGACGTAATAGCCGTCGACGAAGACGCCGCTTTGGTTGATGACTGAAACGACCAAAACGGTAAACGAACTATCTATCTACCTATCCTTCTATCTATCTATCTATCTATCTATCTATCTATCTATCTATCTATCTATCTATCTATCTATCTATCTATCTATCTATCTATCTATCTATCTATAAATGTTTGCCTGTCTGTCTATCCATGTATCTGTCTGTCTAACATTTCCTAAACAGACTACTAACTCTTCAATAAGCAAGCTAAAAGGTAGAGCTAATTCCTTCACAAAACCCGAAAAGACCATATTTCTTTTATCGGTGTTAACTCAAATCACCTAATAAAAGAATTATAAATACACAATTATTTCGCCAAAGGGTCGCTCAATGCTGGAATTGATTACAACTGATTACAGTCGGGATAAACTGTCTGTAAGTTCTTTTTCTTGTCTCTTATTTTTCTTATTTTTGCATCCTCTCTAGATTTGCCCAGATGTCCCTTTAAAGTGAGATAAACTTGACATGAAAAATGAGTGAAGTGCAAAGCGAACAATAACACGATGTAATTAAGCTTGTTATCTTAAATTTTTTAAATTAAATTAGACTGCCTGCTAAAGATCTGTGAATGAATTCTAACACAATAATAAATAGCATTTACCACGTTGTTGAGCTCTTCTGTATCAGTTTCTTGTAATTACTTCTTAGCTAACATAGGGTACGATATTCAAGTTATTATTTATTGTGGTATGGGTGTATAGTATAGGGTTCGTCTACCTTTTGACTGTCCACTGCTGGTCCTCATCAGTGCATGGCGTCGATTTCCTGAACGGGACTTAAACCAGGACTGTAACAGTTGCTAGTGATCGGTATATGTCGAACGTCACATCAGTTTTACAAATATTCAAGTTTAGTACTTGTTGCAGTACTAGATGCTTTCAAGAAATTGCTCTCTATCAAATATGTTCGTAAAAGTATTTACCTCTCAACTGCTTAATTCCATGGATTTAATGACCCTTCCGGTACATGTATTCATAATATTTTGAGCAAGTAAGCCATGATGATACTTTCATCACTGTTGCATTTCTGACGATTGAGAGACATGGGAACGAATTAACCAGAAATTGATATCCTGGCGGCATAGTTTAGAGGCGCGCGCAGGCTCGTGGGATAGTTTCGGACTATTTTTGGTTTTGGCGTGGGATTTGTGGCATTGTAAGTCAGCTCAGTTGACGTTTCGCTATTCGTTTTGTTTTGCATAGTTTCGTTTCCTATGGTTATGTTCTTACGTGTTCAGATTGGAATATAGCTTGTGTGTTTGGGTTTTTTGACCTGCTTTCTTTGAAATTAGTCTCTTTGGAGTTGTCTATGTATTCACTGTTCTGTTTTTTGCGTAAATCATTTCCCCGTGGTTTCTTGCCACAGTATTGGCAGGGGACTACGTTTTCACACCTTTCTTAGCCACTTCTCAAAGGTGGTTTTAAGTTGATTTTCGAATCTGACCTTGCACACTTTCTAGCCTAGAGCATGTAGTAAACAAACTAAAGGAACGTTTTTTTCTGTGTAAAGGCAGAAATGAACCAAGGGAAGGCGGAGTAATTGATCTGTAATCAAGAAGGACCAAAATACTGCAAAGTGCAAAATACCAACAAGAGCTCTTCCAAATTTATATTTGAATCCATGGAAACCCTCGGGTAATGACTCACATAAGCGTTAGTAGGTATGCAAATATCCACAAAACCTTGCCTTACTGGGTGAATTTACTCCTCAATAGTGCTGCTCGGCTGGCCTAAATTTGTGTGTTTGTTTTTTTTTGTTTGTTTGTTTTTTTTAGTCCTATTTCAAAGGCTAAACACTCCACCGTCTACATCACTTTTGCGAAAAACATCTTGCGTCTACTTAAATTTCCCCCCGCGCGAAAAAGTTGAATAACTTGAAAACCGTTCAAGTTATATTATATGGAGTTAGTGGGGTGAATAGGCGAACGGTTTGGTGGAGTTTGAAAATATTTTTGCTTAGATTTCGGATTTTAAGCAAGATTTTAACGGATTTTCGGATCCTGCAATTGCAGCGGATTGAGGATTCATCTATTTTAAATTGGGCGTGGATTTTCGTCTATGCGTGTAATTAAAATATTTTTGCCCGGGTTTCGGATTCAAGGCGAAAATGGAGGGGCGGATTTGTATATGTAATAGGACTACATGCTGTCCAATTTGGAAATAATTGGATGAAAAAATTCCCAGGACAGCCAAAATTAGACGAGGCCGTAGGCCGAGTCCAATTTCGCTGTCAGAGGAATTTTTGAGAAAAAATTATTTCAACTTGTACAGTTTTTTATGAAATATTGTACACTTGAACCCGTCCGTTTGTAGCTGAAAAAAAAACACACACAAACACACACATACGCAAGATTTAAAAAAGATTTCTTTTCCTAGTGTCATTCAAATTATTCTTTGCAAGTAAACAAACGTACAACTAGTATTGCTGTTTCATACTTTGGCATTTTGTTGCCAATTCAAATTTTGAAAGCTCCTTCAATGGTCTGAACACATACTGTGCTACAGATGAAAACCGCAGTTTCGAGTATAAAGAAAACAAAGCCACAACGCAAATACTTAATTTAAATACAAAAACTAGTGAAAATAAACAATTCATTCATTGCCTCAAACGATTTCCGCAGAATTGGTCCATTTGTTTTTGTACTGCCAACATCTAAACACAAGTATCTGTGTTTTCTTATTCTGGTTCAAAGTTTCACTACTTGTGCATTTTCAAGAAATCTATGCGTTGACTGTTTCCAATACAAACTTTCATCAGTTTGGTCATACATATGCATTTTCCTTTGCTTTTAAATGGCCCAGAAAAGAAGCCAAAAGAAAACAGCACTACTGAGCAAGAAAACAAAACGACATTCACAGCAACAAAAAGCCAAGAGTGTTCGAGGACGAACCGGTGTCAGCCAACGAAACTTTTCTTGGCGCGTTGTCACAGGGACCTTGCGCTGATTGGCTAGTTTGCATTGCCTATTGTATTTTCTGACATTTGATTGGCTCAGACCAGCTGCCCTATTTTTCTTAAATTGGACAGTTTGCGTATTGGTAAAGGAAAGCCCTATCTGAAACTATCCAAATTAATCCTTAATTGGACAGTTCGTTAAAATTAATAATAGGGACTTTAAGATCCACCGACGCGCCGGCAACGAGAACGTCGCTTAAAAAGTTGCCTGCTTCCAGTCTTTATCGCAATTATTCCTAACCACTTACTATGTCAAATGTAGGCGAACCCTCCTGAAATGGAATTCCTAGGGACCATATCCAAGTTCGCAAAGAGAAATAAAATTTCGCTGTTGCTTGTTTACGTACTCTATAAAACGCGAAATTAGGCATTTTCACGTCGTATTTGTGCAAAAACGGGCAAAGAAATGTAGAAAAAAGCGTGATAGACATGCAAAGATGTTGTTTTGCTTCAAAAACCTATTGTTTTTTTGACGTTCCCTTTACCGTCCGCGTTGTTGGATCTTAAAGTTACTAATAATAGCTTTGCTGACAATATCGGATTAACTAACAGCTATATAATTAGGTTAATAAATCATAACGGTTCGGCGGATCTACATACCTCTATTCATCCCCGTCTATATATGACCACCAAATTTAGCGACTTTTCCTAAAAATTATCTGCAAACATTTTAATTTAAAGTGTTCGTGAAATGGACGTCAACATTGACGTTACCATAGGAATCAAGTTTTGTCAGCCATGTTTTTCACAATTTGCACTTTTTTTTCTAAAAAATAGGTTTTAATTATGTTCTTACCAATGGAACTATGATATTACATTTACATTAGCATTATCTTATCAAAGTTATTGTCGCTGTTGATGAAATCCAGGCTTTGTAGTGACTAAAATAAAACACAAACAGCGGTGATAAACATTGTGAGGTTTCGCATTTTTGTAAACTTGACTAGCACTATTCAACATACATTTTCAAAAGTGATCTTAAGTGACCATTAAAGCATGTGACGAGAATATATATTAAAAAATTACAGATGCTAAGATCACTCTTCAGTTATTGTTGACCATGAAGTTCCTACCACCGGACATAACATTAAATGGGATCGCTTTTGAAATCTTAGCATCTGACAAAACAGATTATCATTGTAACAAATAAAAGAAATATTTTTGTCTATTTTGTCATGATTTATTTTGTTTCTACAAGGCCTTAAGCCAGCTTTTAATGTCAACATCAGCAGTGAAAAGCTGTTGCCTAAATTTTGTATTCATTACTGTTAAGAATTTTTAAATTCTTATTCTCATTTCCAGACCTCTTGTAAAAAATATGTAGTTTCGTCATTTGCTTTAACGGACACTTATGATAACTTTTGAAAATGTATGTTGAATAGCATACGAACGTCAAGTTTAAAGAATTGCAAAAACTCAAAATGTTTATCACCGCTGTTTGTGTTTTATCTTTGATCAAACTACGTTGGCCTAAGAACAAAAGTCTCTTTGTAGCGACTAGTTTAAGTTTGAGAAAAAAAAAACATGACCAAATGGAACATGCTGAGTTTAATTTCCAACAGTGTTCATTTCTCCCGGAATTGCATATTTTGTAGATTTTTTTGCTTCCTATGCATCCTTTAATACTCAGATCAAGTTTCATATTAAAAATTCCTCGATGTATGTGGGTTTTAAGTAATTCAAAGTTACGGCTCTAAGATGGCGGATGCTTTCAGTCCCTTTTCAGTAATAGATGATGCCATCATGACATCACTGCTATTGTTAAAGGTTATTTATACGTTAGCGAACTTGTTGATTTTATCAAATGCCTTAGTATTTAAAGGGACTGGTTCACGATAATGCGCATGCGCGCCGTTTGTCTCTTCAGAATAAATTTGTTGGGTCAACACTAAATTCGAAATCGCCATTACCGGTACAATCATTGAAAATCCTTCGTTTTATTCAGACATCCGCCGCTTTGGCTGGTCTAGTTATACTTCGGTAGTGGTGATTAACGTGTGGTTGTGTCGTTTGACTGGTTACGTTTTAAGAAGACGCAAAAAATAATGTTTTGATCAGGAGGTTCAGAAGAGCATCGTGGCCGTCTGGCAACAGGACGTTCTCAATAGTCTTTGAAGATAGAGAAGCTTAGCCTGTCGATTTGGTATGGTTCTAGGAGTAGTGTGTGGCTTACG